TTTGCTTACTTGACACTCCTGTTGGTTTCTCTCCTTTGCAGTCTATAGTTTATATAATCTTCTTCTTTCTTTGATTTTATCCACTGTTTATATAAGTCTTTTTTTCTTTTTAATTGCTTCTTTTACTTCTTCGCACCACCAAGGTGAAAATTTGTTTTTTCCCCGTCTGTTTCCACTCTTCCGTTTTCCACATAGTTCTTCTCCAATACTAAGCATAGTTTTTTTATATTTACTCCATTCTTCCTCAATATTGCCAACTACATGTGGAAGTTGTTCGAATGCTGTCTCTACTTTCTGTTGTAACTGTTCTTTTACTCCTTCCTGTTTCAGATTTGCTATGTTGACGAGATCCTTGATTTTTTTTTAAATTTCTTTCTGTGTTTCTTTAATGTAAGATGTTTTGCTGTTAACACAACTATTTTATGGTCAGTGTCACATAGACCATTAGGGATTGCTCTTGAATCAAGAATTCTCCTTCTTCCTTGAACTCTGGTAAGTATAAAGTCAATCTGGCTCTTGATGGAGATATCATTCCATTTGTACCAAGTGTAAAGTTGTGAATCTCTATGGTCAAAGAATGTGTTCGTAATAAAAAGATTGTGCTGGCTGCATAGATCCAATATTCTTTGACCATTTCCATTTCTGCGGCGTCCGTGGCTAAGGCGTTGCGAGTCTGACTCGTAATCCAACGTACCGCAATCTAAACCTACGTGGGCTGCGTGGATTTTTATCGTGGTATGGGACGTCGCAGGTCGACCCAGCCTCAAATGGGTACCAGGATGGGCTGTCCTGGGAAAGTAAAGACGGCTGGCGTAATGCTGACCACATTACCCACCGAGTGTCGATTGGTCTGTAAAAATATGGGTGCTCTTCCCATATGCCCGATGCGCCTAAGGGCGTGTAAAGGGATCTTTACTTTTTTTTAATTTCTATTTCTAGCACTGTTCTTAGCTGCATGTGGACCTAAAAACTGTTCGTATTCTCTTCTGTTATTTCCTACCCTCCCGTTGAAGACACCCATTACATATAGTATGCTGCTTCCCTCAACTTTCTTTATCTCATCAGACAGATCGTCAAAGAATTCATCTTTCTGCTCTTCTGTATAATTATCATTGGATGGTGCATATATCTGTATATATGTTTCAGCTAGTTCTCCTCTTTTAATTTTCAAAGTAATAATTCTATCTGAGTGATAATGTATGTCTAATATGTAGTTAGATATGTCCGGATGTACCAGGAAACCCACTCCATTCTTCGATGTTTCTCCTCCTGCATATGTTAATAAGTAGCCTCTGTGTATTTTATTGTTACTATTTCCCTTGCGTCCTATGTCAGCTAGCCCCATTAACTTGATTTTCCTTTTTTCCATCATTTCAATAATCTCTTCTGTTTTATTTCCCAGGCCAGCGGTGTTAAGTGTTGCAATCTTGTATTTCGCTTTTCTGTCCCGTAGTCCCTTAACATTGCCATGGTCAGATATCGTTTGATCAGTCCGTTTATATCTCATTTTGCCCGGCTCTCTAGCGAAGTTGGTTAAACCTGACTTTCGCAGTGGCCGGGTGACAAACCAGATTAACGGTACCTAAAATGGAATCAATGCCGAAAGGTTGCGATATCCATAGTACCGAGCCAAAGGGTTTACAACTCATGGTTTCTGGATACGTTTAAAAAAAAAAAAAATATCTCATTTTGATTTTTGTAGCGATAATAAATCCATTGCCGGCTTGCTAGGCCTGTCGCAACTTCACCAGAGCCCCGTTGGCCAGGACGTTTCGGGGTGACCCAGAGTGGCCTTCATGGCTACCGTAGCGGTCCCGTGGCACGAGGCCACACCATACTTCGCCCACACCTAGCAATCCCCTACTTTGTCCTGTTACCACCTCTCACGACGAGGACGTGGGATTGGCCTTTGATAGGCATGTACATGTCTACTTGTAATAATATTGGTTTCTTATTATTAATTTTTTTTATTTTTTTTATTTTTATTTTTAAATGAAATGAAACAGTCATAAGCGGCATCCGTGGCTTAGGCGTTGCGAGCCCGACTCGTAATTCCAACGTACCGCGATCGAAACCCACTGCTGGCTGTGTGGATTTTTATCATGGTATGGAGGGTCGCAGGTCGACCCAGCCTAAAGTGTGTACCAGGATGAATGATCTGGGGAAGTAAAGACGGCCAGCGTGATGCTGACCACATTACCCACCTAGTGCCGATTGGTCTGTAAAAATATGGGATGCTCTCCCCATATGCCCGATGCGCCTAAAGAAGTGAAAATGGATCTTTACGTTTACTATTATATTAACAGTCATAAAAACAAAATAGCCCTACCTTGTTGGTGTGGAAAGTGATCTATGTTGTGCCTTGTCCAACACAGACCCAAAAATGGCAGATATCGTCAAGAATAAACGGTGTCAAACATCACATTGATATCTGGACACTAAGTTATCAGTTGGTTGTGCAACTTCAGTCCTCATGGAAGACGAATTGTTCGTTATTTGTGAAGCCCCACCCTGGCTGTTACCGGGGGCCCAAATATAACCTAAAGGTTGAACGAGGTTCATTCGAATGGTGGCACTTTGTGTCACCGAGTGTTTATCGTTCAGTGTGATGTCAAGGTGGGGTAAAAGGTCAGTCAGTCACCGGAAAATTTTCAGTACTGGTCATAGCTTTAACTGTGCTAGGCAGAGGATGCCTCTATATGCAAAATGGCTTCCAACCCGCACAGTATAGGCGCATCTCTCACAGAAAGAAATTGCAAACTACTATAAGTATTTTGCAGAGGTCGTGGGGGTCTTGCCATATACTCAAAGGGCGTGGGGGTCTTGCCATATAGTCAATGGGGGCGTAGGGTCTTGTCATATACTCAAAGGGTCATAGGGGTCTTGTCATATATTCAAGAGGGTGGGCGGGGGGGGGGGGTGTTTGTCATATACTCGAGTGGGCGCTGGGGTCTTGATATATACTCAAAGGGGCGTCAGGGTCTTGTCATATACTCAAGGGGTCGGGGAGTCTAGTCATATATTCAAGGGGTCGTGGGGGTCTTGTCATATATTCAAGGGGGCGTGGGGGTCTTGTCATATATTCAAGGAGGCGTGGGGGTCTTGTCATATATTTAAGGGTGTGGGGGTCTTGTCATATATTTAAGGGGGCGTGGGGATCTTGTCATATATTCAAGGTGGCATGGGGGTCTTGTCATATATTGAAGGGGGCGTGGGGGTCTCACATATTAAAAGGGGATTGGAAGTCTTGTCATATATTAAAAGGGGTGTGATGGTCTTGCCATATATTCAAGGGTGCGTGGTGGGTCTTGTCAAATGTTAAAGGGGGCATAGTGGTCTTGTCATATATTCAAGAGGGTCGTGGGGGTCTTTTCATGTAATTACGATGAGCGTGGGAGGTCTTGCCGCAGACTCAAAAGACGGAAGGTTGGAGAGGGGGGGGGGGGGACATCTAAAATAAGGCCACATGGAGAGAAGCTGGCTTGCCCGTCTGTATTAAGTGAAGGAAAATTACAGACCCTTTTCTAGCCAATGGCGCATCAGACAGGGGATAAAAACAGAGCCATGTCGTGCTTTGAAACAGATGTGCGGCCACATCAGGCGGCACTGTAAGAGGGCGGTTTAAGCAGCGAAATAAAGATACAATTTGAACGTTCCATTTCACCTTGCGAAGCTATAAGGGGTGGTATCTGGAAGACTTACTGAGAAAACCAAATGCACGGGGTTGGTTGCTAGACGTTTTTTCTTTATGAATCAGTTGGAGCTTGGTGTATTGATTGGTGAACAACACATCGCGACAGCTTTTGCTCGATCGACAACATAGAATTCGGTAACATCAAAACAATAATTTTCGTAGTGTTAGTGAACTGGACAATAATTTGCGTACAGTGTTAGTGAACTGGACGATAATTTGTGTACAGTATTAATGAACGAGACAATAATTTTTGCACAATGTAAGTAAACTGGACATTTATTCGTGTGCAGTGTTAGCCAACTGAACAATAATATTTTGTACAGTAATAGTAAACTGGACAATTATCATTGTTCAGTGTTAGTGAACTGAACTATAATTTTTTTGTTCAGACGTCAACTGGACAATTATTTTTCGAAATAACACATGTTGTTATCTTCACATCCGTGTTATGTGTCCTGGATTAGATGTAAGGCGCGACAAACCGATAAAACCAACTACCCACTTCTGACAAGCTTAAAAAAAAAAAAACTAGTTCTGTTATCTGGTTCAAAATATAAATATTGATGTATTTGATCTGATAACAACAGAAATATAATTCTTCACACTTGGATTCAGGATTCACTTTAGGAAGACAGAACAGAACGCTGTTTGTGTATTTTTATCCGCTAAAGGAAGACAGTATTAATGTATTGTTTATTTATTTCAAATACGAATGATCAGTTCCTATTCACATATTGCATTGACATATGCAAGTGAAACAGGCATAACAGGCAGACAAGACTCACACAAATTTACATGTGACAATGGTAACATTAACATATTAGATTAGTGTATTAAAGAGCAACTAGTGACTGAGTAAAAATATTGCGTGATCCTCGAAGCCTGGGTTCGATTTTAGTGGCTAACGTTTAATTTGTTTTTAAAATCGAGTTCTTTGGTTTTCGGGCAAAGTTGCGAGACACGCACTGTGAAAGATATTAGGGCGTTACCGTGTCATTGTAGCAGGTCTTAACGGCAAACGCCGCGTAACCTGGCCATTTTTTTCAACTAGTGAGAGCTGCGTTGTTACATATGCAGTAGCAGATAAAAAGCACAGTTTTTAGTAGTATTAGGACTGCTATTTTGAACATTTTAATCATTTTATTGAGCTGGAAAATTATCTTTTAAAGTAACAAGCGATGTTGTCTGTATATGTGTGCAGGCGTCACAAATTTATTTAGTGTATTAAAACCGCCACACACTGACATTCAACACACAAAAAGCACAAAAACAACTCACTGGATTAAGTAAACAGAGACCTGACACTATGGTGCTGTTACCTGATTTTATATGCAAGGAAGCACAAACTACGGTGCCCGAAGCTCCTGTTCAGAAAACTGGATACTTGGACATTAAACAGCATTCAGCAGTTCGTCCGAGAAAACTTAAGGTAACTGCTGTTTGTTGTTTCACTGTGTTGTGAATTTTTATTGAAGGTAACTGTTTGTTGTTTCACTGTGTTGTGAACTTTTATTGAAGGTTGTTGTTGTTGTTGTTATCGATCCAGCGGCGCATGAGCTTTCGCCCTTTGGCCCAATGCCATGTAGTGGAATTTGCATGTTTTCACAAGCTGTTCTTTTCCTCCGTACAAGGTGTTCCACTTGTCTGGTCTCGGAGGGAGTAGCGTTCTTCTTGTCTCACTGAGTTTTGGGCACTCAAAGAGATGGTGTTCAACAGTTTCGTAGGGGTAGTTACATAGCTGGCACTCTGGGGAGTGTTGTGGCTGTATTCTGTTTAGGTGTCCATTGAGTGGAGTATGTTGCGTTCTAAGTCTGAAGATGGTGGCCTGGTCCCTTCTTGTTAGATGGTTAATGCTGTCATTAGGATCAGGGCCAGACATATGTCTATAAACCTCTCTTCCAGTGTCTCCCATGGCCCATCTGTTCAACCAAGTCTCTTTGTTTATAGCTCTTATCAGTGTTTTTGCTGTCTGGAGGGTTGTCGCTGTAGGTGGTTGTTCTTGTGTTGCTCCTTTCTTTGCCAATCTGTCAGCTCTGTCATTACCTGGTGTGCCGGAGTGACCTGGAATCCACTGCATCACTATTCTGATGTTGTATGAGGTAATAAGATGATCGGCATCCAGGATTATCTTGGCTATGTCAGTTCTGCAGCGTTCATTGCCCTCCAGAGCTTGAAGGGCAGACATTGAATCTGTGAAGATGACAATATTTTGGACCTTTGAGGGGTAAACATCCATTACAGTCTTTAGGTGGTATACTGCTGTTTCCAGTGCAATTATTTCAGCTTCATAGTTTTGAACAGAATTCCCCGCATGCATCAAAAATCTCTTCAACAGATCCATCGGGATAACCTATGTAGATTCCGTAACCTGCTTTAATGGTAGCTTTAAATGCTGATCCATCAGTATAGACATGTATCCATTCTTGGGGGTAAGAATCAACGGTCTTTAGTGATGAGTTCATAAGAGCGATTGGGTCGGACTGTTTGGTTTCCTCGCCTACCAATTTAGTTTGGACTTCTGGAGCTTTAAAGCGAGCATGTGGTGGTAGGTTTTTTGCAACATTCTGAATTCCTTGACGTCTTTCTGGGAGGTGGTATCTGTCCTGAATTTCATTTATACAATGTAAAACCGATTTGTGCTTTATTCTTTGTTTGGATTCCCAGTTTTCTACAAGATGTCTATTAGGATGGTTACGATTTTTCCTAACGCATCTTTCATAAATTTCTAAAGTGGCTTTTTCTCTCCGCAACCCGAGGGGTTCCACATTTGTATGGATTTCACATGCAGCAGTTGGTGTAGACTGCATAGCTCCGCAGATTAATCGGAGGGCATTATTTTGTACTCTGTCAAAAGTCTCTAGGTTAGTTTTGGAGCAAGTTGTAAGCAGTGAGTTGTTGTACTTTATCACAGAGCGAACATATCCTAGGTATAAGCCTCTCAGAGTTTCCTTGTCTGATCCCCATGATGTACCTGCAAGTCTCTTTAATAACTGTAACCGCCTCAATGCCTTATTCCTGATGTTTTCAATATGGTTCTTGAGGCTGAGCTGCGGGTCAAGTGTGACTCCAAGGTATGTGGGATGCTCTTCTTTCATCACTTGGTGTTTGTCTAACCTCAGGTTAATATTCTTCCTTGCTACTTGGTGGCTTTTGGTAAAGATTGTGTAGACCGTCTTTGCACAGTTAATCTTGAGTTTCCATCTTTGGCAGTAATCATGCAGTCTTCTAAGGTCTCCATTCAGTCTTTGGGCTCCACTTTCCACATTTTCATGACTCTGCCATATTGCTAGGTCATCAGCGTACAAGGCTTTTTCGGCCTTGATTTGTTCTGGCAGGTCATTGATAAAGATTAGGAATAGTGTACAGCTCAATGATGAGCCTTGTGGCAAGCCCTCCTCCAAGACTTCTTTAGAAGAGATTGCGTTGTGCATCTTAGTCTGGATTGTTCTATCTATCAGGAAGTATTTTCACCCAGTTATACAATCTGCCATGTATTCCTATGCTCATCATCTTTCATCAGGAGACCTTTTCTCCATACTCTGTCATAGGCCTGCTGGAGGTCGACAAAGACTGCCACTGTGTGTTTCTTATTCTGGAAGCCATCATGTATTCTTTGTGTCAGTCTGAACAGCTGGTCTTCTGTGCAGCTGTTGGTTCTGAAGCCTGCCTGTTCATGGCATAGAACACCAGAACTCTCAAGGAACCAATATAAGCGCCTGTTTATCATTCTTTCTGCAACTTTGCCCAAGCATGATGTTAAGGATATCGGGCGGTAGCTTTTGGGGTCATCTGGAGGCTTTTTGGTTTTAAGGATGGGGACGATATATGCATTCCTCCATGCCCTTGGAAGTTTGCTTGACCTCCAAGTTTTATTAATAAGCCTGAGAACTACTTCTCTCCCAGACCGGCCAAGATGTAGCAGCATTTCGTTGTGGATCTTATCTGGGCCTGGAGATTTTCTAGGTTTTAATTTCTTCAGGGCTTGCTCTAATTCATCCATGCTAAATTCATTTTCAAAAAGGGAGTCGCTGGCTGTTGGAGCTCTCTCTTGTTTCTTCAACTGAGAGAGCTGTGTTCTATCGAGTTCTGACAGCTTACCTGCTCTGTTAACCGAGGCAAAATAATGATTGAAATGTTCTGCTTTCTTCTTGTCTTCAGTGATTGTCTTACTCCCATCTGTCACTGGTTTTGGGTTCACCCTTCTACTTTCTCCGGAGAGGTTTTTAACTAAAGTCCATGCTTTATTTCCATTCTGTCTAAGGTCTAAGTTGGAGCAAGTTTCTGTCCATTTATCTCTTTTAGCCTTATTAACTACAAGCTTTACTCTGGCACATGCTTTATTGTATTGGATCTTTGCTTCTGTTGAACGTGCAGTTTCGAGAAATATTCTTGCTTTATTCCTTTCAGATATAGTATTTTGAATTTCTTGATTCCAAAAAGGTTTATATGCCTTCCGGCTGCCCCTTGGGATGGCTTTCGACGCTGCATTCAGGATTGCTTGTGTTAGGTCTTCACAAAAAGTTTCCACACAGCTGTTGTCAATTCTTCCCAGGAGGCAGTCAGATGTTTCCTGAAATAGTTTCCAGTTTGCTTTTCGGAAATTCCAACGGGTTCTCTGCTTGAAGCGTAATTTAGGGGTGGTGCTTACAGTTGTGAGTATAGGTTTGTGGTCACTTCCTATGTCGTCCAGGACTTGGGGATAGCTTGCGTCTGCTAAGTCGGATGAGCAGATGGTCAGGTCTGGTCTGCTGAGAGATAGGTGGGCCCTGTGTAACAGTGTAGGTGTAGACTCTGTGTCCTGCAGCACTAATAGGTTAGTTGTTTCACAAGTATCTTCGATGTACTTCCCTGTGCTATTGTAGTCAGGGTAACCCCAACGTGGCGAGTGTCCGTTGAAGTCACCAACAAGAAGGGTTTTATGGTACTGTGTCTTGTATAGTTCTGGTATGTTGCATGTTGTCTGAGGTGGGCTGTACACGATGTATATCGTGTATTTGCTTCCATTGTGCCAGATAGTTATTTTTTGCACATCTGTAGGGTGAGATGTCGACAGCATTGTTACATCTCCTTGTATGTCATTTCTGATATAGGTCACTATGCCCCGGCAGTCATTGCACTTACAGGCATAACTAGTATATCCAGTGAGATGCAGATCAGAGTCTTTATGCAGGGTTTCTTGTAGGGCAGCCACGTGTACCCTGTGGTTGTTTAGCAGTTTGGCAAGTTCAAGTTTCTTATTTCTTATTCCACAGATGTTCAGCTGCAGAATATTGAGCATCTGTGTATTTTTTGCTGTGCTGTCTGAGTTCTTTTTGCTCTCCCTCCCACTCTTCCTCCTCCTGGGGTGTCTGTTTTCCCTATTTATTTCAAATTTTCCAGTAGCCAATTTTTCGCACATGACAGCCTGGTTTCCCACTGTCTGGCGCGGGCCTTGATAGACGAGATAGATATTGAAGGTAACTGTTTGTTGTTTCACTGTGTTGTGCATTTGTATTGAAGGTAACTGTTTGTTGTTTCACTGTGTTGTGAATTTTTATTGAAGGTAACTGTTTCTTGTTTCACTGTGTTGTGAATTTTTATTGAAGGTAACTGTTTGTTGTTTCACTGTGGTGTTGATTTTTGTTAAAGGTAACTTTATGTAGTTTCACTGTGTTGTGAATTTTTGTTAAAGGGAACTGTTTATTGTTTCACTGTGGTGTTGATTTTTGCTGAAGGTAACTTGATGTTGTTTCACTGTGGTGTTGATTTTTGTTGAAGATAACTGTATGCTGTTTCACTGTGTTGTGAATTTTTGTTGAAGGTAACTTGATGTTGTTTCACTGTGGTGTTGATTTTTGTTGAAGGTAACTTGATGTTGTTTCACTGTGTTCATAATATTCTAAAACAGTCGTTATTGGGTCATGCAGCTCTAAGAAATATCCGGTCATCTGGTAGTCTTAGTTTCAGTTTGATGCAAATGGGTCACCCCATAGTTGCCTTGCTCCTGTGCCAACAACAACAACAACAACAACAACAGCAACAACAACAACTACAAACACTGTGTATACACAGATATCGGTCCTTTTTCGTTTTTCAAGACAACAGTATTCCACAAAAACATTAAAGACACTCTACGTCCTCACTGCGTGAGAATAGACAGTTGCAGCCACTTGATCACAAATTACTCCTCCCCACGGCGCTTAACACTGCCAGGCGTAGAAAAATGGACACAGACTGTGGTTTTAGCACATCCACTAGCATACAATACACACGCATTAAAAGCCTATTGCAGCCATCGGAATTGCTAACACAAACAGTCTGACATTAAAAATGTAATTTAATCATCGATGGAGGCAGGATTTACAAACAGATCAACAGTTGCACGTGCGATTAATTTTAATCACGTTAGGCACCAGTAATTATCTGGCAACAAGCCAATCGCTATATTCTGAATCTACAGTTCACAACAAGCTGGTCACAGTCGAAAAATATCCAAATGCAATCCGCAGCTCACAGTGTCGCACTGGGCACTCAACATTACGCAGTGTCAATTCTGATAGGTGGGGGAAAGGAGTTCGTCTCGATGTGGATTTAAACAAATCGTTGCAGGCTACTGTAATAGGGTAGCTTAGTTATACCTTACAATGACCTGAACAGGTGAAACGTCATGCATGATTTGGGTTGATCATTCGTCCCTGTATTCCCGCCGTCCCATTTCTCTCGGTGTAGTTAAAGAGCAAATTGTTTCGTTTATTTTTTGACGTTAATGGTTCGGGTTTTTTTTTATTAAACATTGAGGAGAGAATAACTAACCCTTTCACCCCAGTGACGTAGAAAAAAAACGGAGACAGAGTTTAAAATGACATACTTCCGATGTCCCGATTTAAGCTCAAAATATTAGTGGGGTGTCCCGTTTTCAGCTCAATATGTTAGTCAGATGTCCCGTTTTCAGCTCAAGATGTTAGTCAGATATCCCGTTTTCAGCTCAAAATATTAGTGGGATGTTCCATTGTCATCTCAAGATGTTGGTAAGATTTCCTGTTTTCTGCTTAAGATATTATGTTCACCCGATGTATGCACTTTAGCCGAAGGGATAAGAACACAGGGATGTCATGGGGGAGACCAGGGTTCGAATCCTAGATAAGGTGGTTGGGGATTCTTTTTCTGTGATAGGCAAAAATAAAATACTAACCTGCACAATTCGTGGCGACAGCACTAGCCTTGCGGCCTTATATAATCAGGCTTTAAAAAAAACCTGCCTATACCGTAAAAGTGATAATTAAAGGAAGTGAGTTTTAAACAGACACATTTCAGCAGATGCCATAGAATGACTTGTTTCCACAAAACCAACAGCAGACTAAACCAACAGGAGAGGGAGGTGTGTGGTCTCGATGCACATGGCGTCCGCCTCGAGTGCTGGAGGTCTAGGGTTCAAGCCCCTGTGAAGCCTGGGATTTATTCACGTTGACTTGTAGTATTTTCCTTGGGTAGCAAAACCGGACGCCTGTGTGTATTGTTGCGTGCGTAAAAAAATATATTGACAGTCGGAAATCAAAAAAGAATAGCCTAACGGCTGTACCCAGGCCAAATTTAAAGTTTGAAATCTACCCAAAGTATTTCAGGATCATCGCCGATAGCACGGAATTCGTGCACTGTGCTGAGACTCTCCGCACTTAGGGTTGAGTCAGAAGTAGAACGGAGCACTTATGAGTTCCTACCACCGATGTGCACTGATGTTGATCCGTTGTCTAAACCAAGTGCAGACTTGAAGACGTTGATGGACAGTGTCAGCCCGGCTCTCTAGCGTAGTTGGCTAAACCGGATTGCGCGGTGAGCGGGTGGCGAACTCCTTATGGTCCAGGTTCACGCCCGGGGGTAGGCAGAAAAGCCACATTTTCTCCCAGATTTACGGTATTTACAATGGAATCAAGACCGAAAGGTTGCGATATCCACAATACTGAGCCTAAGGGTTAACAAACTCATGGCTTCTGGATACTAAAACAAACAACAAACAAACATGGACAGTGTCAGCTGGACAAGCAGATAGTATGATCTATGTTGAATGTAAGTAGGGTCTGTGGCTTAGGCGCTGCGAGCTCGACTCGCAATTCCAACGCACTGCGATCGAAACCCAGTGCTGGTTGCGTGGAATTTTATCATGATAGTGGTCTTCGCAGGTCGACCCACCCTAAAATGGGTACCAGGATTGCTGTCCTGTGGAAGTAAAGACGGCCGGCGTAATGCTGACCACGTTACCTACCTAGTGCCGATTGGTCTGTAAAAAAAATGGGATGCTCTTCCCATTTTGCCCGATGCGCCTTAGGCGTGAAAAGATATTTTTACTTTTTTACTTGCATGTATCTAAATTATAATTCCTCTTCCCCATTTACATCATCATCAGACATGGAGACGCCGATGGATAGTACTGACTAAAATGAGCGACATGTCCAGTGATAAGTACCTTGCAAAACTTGACCTGTACGACAACGAAACAAAATGGCAGAGCAACTCCGCAGACAAGGTGACATTCGTGCTGGAAAACGTGACAGAAGTTCAGCAAACGAAATCCTCCACTCATCAATATGCCTTTGAGGTGGTGGAGAAGCAGCAGCCAGTGTTGGTTATGAGTGGCTCCAGTCTCGGAGAGACCTACAGCTGGATTCTGACCCTGCAGCAGATCTTTATGCCAGAGCGGATTCTGGCCTCAAAAGGTTGGTGAGATAATGGGTTTGTTCTGTGGCTTGATGGGCGGATGAATCGATTGATGGATAGCGGGTTGGTTAGCTTAATGGATGGTGGATGGATGGATGGATGAATATTATATTGGCTGGTGGTTTAGTTAACTGATTTTTTTATTCAATTCTTGGACTGCTGGATGATATATTAGAGTGTTGTGTAGCTGGATGGAGGGATAAATGAATGAATGGATGGATGGATGGATGGATGGATGGATGGATGGATGGATGGATGGATGGATGGATGGATGGATGGATGGATGGATGGATGGATGGATGGATGGATGGATGGATGGATGGATGGATGGATGGATGGATGGATGGATGGATGGATGGGTAGGTGGATGGTAGGTTGCGTGGACGTTTGACTTATTTGTCGATTTGTTGTTTTCGTAGTTGGTGCATTGGTAAGTTGGGTATAAGGATGCATGGATGACTGTCTGAATGAACAATTAATTGATTCGTTGTTTTGATTTGTTGGTTAATTGGCCTCTAGTGTTCTCGTTACCGTTAGCTGACCTCTATACTACGCTGGTGTCACCCAGTCGTGTTGTGATTGTTTTAACCGTCCTGACTCTTTGACCGAATTTAGTACATCAGTCTGAAAATAGACTTGTTCATTGGCTTGTTTGTTGATTGGTTCGAGAGATGGAAGGATGGGTGGGGTGACGGATGAACGAGTAGTGCTTTGTTCCGATAGTGGATGGATAGCTAGATGGATGGTGGGCTGGACAGACTATGGGGTACTTGTTTGTTTGTCTGGATGGGTAAATTGAGGATTGAATGCTTAGATGGGTGTATGAAGAGTGGGTTTCATCATATGGTGGCTGAGAGAATGGATACGTGGTTGATCACTTGGTTGGTGGATTGGGTAATTAACTGGATGAAAGTTTGGTGATTCGTTTGATTGCCTGGCTGCTTAGATACTTCTTTGTTGGTTGACAGGTCATTTCCTGGGTAGTTTGTTGATTGCTTCGTTGGTTCTTTCGTTCGCTGATTGATTACTTACTTATCTACTTGGGTGGCTGCTTTGTTGTTACATAGTTAATCTTCTGTCCGATACTTTGCCTAATAATTATTAACACAGACGGTCTCTAGGAACTACATAGAGTAGCGGTTCAGATCGGCAACGAGACGAATTTTATTTTCTAAACGGCCTTTGGTTTTCCGGTTGACCCAGTTTAAACTCGGTACCATGTAGTGGCTTGGACACCTAACAAGAATGCCCTGGTACTATCTGCCACAGCGAGCCACACTAAAACGTTAAAACAGGTATAGAGCGAGTTGAAAGCATCGTAAAATATGGAATATTTGGCATTAGGAACAGCCTTACAGAAATGAACATCAGTCCTAATAGTACTCTTGACAGACCTCGTCAACGAACGTTGCATCTTCCCCCGACACTTCGATGAAGTACAAGGCGGAGAAGAAGAAGAAGAAGAAGAAGAAGAAGAAGAAGAAGAAGAAGAAGAAGAAGAAGAAGAAGAAGAAGAAGAAGAAGAAGAAGAAGAAGAAGAAGAAGAAGAAGAAGAAGAAGAAGAAGAAGAAGAAGAAGAAGAAGAAGAAGAAGAAGAAGAAGAAGAAGAAGAAGAAGACCATGTAGCGTCCTGTGGAGTAAAGGCGGCCGGTATAATCTTGACCATATCGCCGACTGGTCTGTAAGGAAGATAGGTATATCACTACATGCTCGATGTGCTAACGGTGTGACAGGGACAGCTTTGCGTACATTTTTGCTTCATTAATTTATTGTAAAATGAACTGGCATTAGAACAGAAGATTACTACATGTGAAGTTCGCTGTCATCGCGAGGTCACTAACAACGCAAGAACAGACAGGGTTGGAAAACACCAGCATTAAAGAAACAGTTCACCATGTCAGGATTATACTGACAGTCAAAGAATGAAATGGTTGGGGCATCTATTGGGAATGCAGCCAGGCCAAACCGCATATGAGACTTTTTACAGCAGAACCTCTGGGAGGAAGGCGAGAAAAAGACCAAGAAAGAGATGGATAAATGATGTGGCAGAAACATGGAAAACGGTGAAGAAATCCATCACCTTAGCCACCCGAGAAATGCAAGACAAATACAGAAAACCACGACACTGGGCTATCAGTGAGACGACAAAACCATGACACTGGGATACAAACTGGTATCAGTGAGACGACAACACCACGACACTGGGCTACAAACTGGTATCAGTGAGACGACAAAACTGCGACACTGGGCTATAATCTGGTATCAGTGAGACGACAAAACCACGAAACTGGGCTATAATCTGGTATCAGTGAGACGACAAAACCACGACACTGGACTACAAACTGGTATCAGTGAGACGACAAAACCACGACACTGGGCTACAAATTGGTATCAGTGAGACGACAACACCACGACACTGGGCTACAAATTGGTATCAGTGAAACGACAACACCACGACATTGGGCTATAATCTGGTATCATTGAGACGACAAAACTACGACACTGGGCTATAATCTGGTATCAGTGAGACGACAACACCACGACACTGGACTACAAACTGGTATCAGTGAGACGACAAAACCACGACACTGGGCTACAAATTGGTATCAGTGAGACGACAACACCACGACACTGGGCTACAAATTGGTATCAGTGAAACGACAACACCACGACATTGGGCTATAATCTGGTATCATTGAGACGACAAAACTACGACACTGGGCTATAATCTGGTATCAGTGAGACGACAACACCACGACACTGGGCTATAATCTGGTATCAGTGAGACGACAAAACCACGATACTGGGCTATAATCTGGTATCAGTGAGACGACAAAACCACGACACTGGGATACAAACTGGTATCAGTGAGACGACAACACCACGACACTAGGCTACAAACTGGTATCAGTGAGACGACAAAGAAGAATAAGAATTTATTGTGTCCATCCCCTTTCCTAGGTGACTACACAGTGACAGTACTAGAGGAGAAGTTCACTAGAAAGTACGGTTTATCAGGGGATCTCACACTGTCCGTCTCTCCGACCTACATCAGCCTGACAGACCTGGACGGTAGGACCTTGGTCAGCTGGCCACTCAAGACTCTGAAACGGTTTCAAGTGGAGAAGAGCCCATTCACTGGACAGAAGTCTGTTTTGGTCATTGAGAGTGGACCGTAAGTTGTGGTGTGGTCAGTTGGTTCAGTAGTTGCTGTGCTGTTTAATTAATTTAGTAATAAGTTGCTAAATTAGACGGTTAGTTAATTGCTTAGTGAATAATAAGATCATTAGATGGTTGGGCGGTTTGTTAATTTGTTAGTTAGATAGTTAGTGTGTTAGTTTGTTGTGACCTGGTTAGTGAGAACTTAGTTTGTTAACAGACTGTTTAAATGAATGATGAGCAAGTTCATAAGTTAGTTACTATCGAGTTAGTTTAGTTAATAATTTAGTTAGTTAGCCAGTTAGCTAGATAGTTAGTAACTTACTAACGAGTTAGTTCAGTTAATATTTGCCCCATACGTTCTCGTTCCAATGAAACTTTTGTCATTCACACAGTATATTATCTTTGGCCACATATGTTTTCGTTCTAATTAAACTTTTGTCATTCACACAGTATATTATCTTTGGCTCCATACTTTCTCGTTCCAATGAAACTTTTGTCATTCACACAGTATATTATCTTTGGCTCCATACTTTCTCGTTCCAATGAAACTTTTGTCATTCACACAGTATATTATCTTTGGCCACATATGTTTTCGTTCTAATTAAACTTTTGTCATTCACACAGTATATTATCTTTGGCTCCATACTTTCTCGTTCTAATGAAATTTTTGTCATTCACACAGTAAATTATCTCTAGTCTTCTCATTCCAATGAAATGTTTGTCTTTTACAGAAACTCACCAACTGGACAGAGTTGTTTCCGCTTTCACTCAGACGACTCGCGCAAAATTATGTCCGCTATTAAACAGTCGGTGTGCCTGGCCGCGGGACTACAAGAGCAGACAGCAGATATTGACCCTCCAAAATCACGCCAGCGGATGAAAGGTCAAAGAAGAATTGGCACCTTTCTTGACAACCACCCAGATTTGCCTTTGCTTGTACGGGATCGGGTAGATTCTGAAAGTTCTTGTTTAACAATCAGTCAAAAGTCTCTATTGGTCAAACATGACCAACCAGTTTATCCCGTTGCCTATACAACGAGTAATTTACACGCAGAAAGAATATCACTCACCAAAACTGAGGAGAACGGGCACGTCCACGATGCGTCTTATAAATACAAACCTGGGTGTGAGTGTGAAGGATTCACAACGCACAAAGACAGTGTGCTGAGCAAGGCAGACAAGCCTTCCGAAAGCATTAAAAGCTGCAGTGGAATTAACAGCACGATGACGGAACAATATTCCATATCAGATGATCATTCTATGACTTCAGAATCACCAGCTATTAACGTTCGGAGACTGCGCTCAATATCCACAGTTGTTGCAGCAATACAAGCTGGATCCGATTTGGAACCTTTGAGATTGGAGCATCCTGACCACAATGCAAGAACAGATACAGACTCAGCTATAGCGTCAATGATATCCACATCAAATGACGATCTTCTTTGGATGGACTTGCAGCACTGGCGGAATTTTGATACAAAACAATCAGTCAAGAGAGAAACACGATTTTATGATCCATCAGAACCAGTTGGCTTCAGAAGACGCATTTGAGAATGACTACGAGGAACTTGATAATTTAAGTTCGGCACTGCAGGAGATCCATAAAGACAGAGATCCAGATACTCCACCGGCTCTTCCAGCCAGGCCTCCATCTATCGTCTGTGCTTCCTGTAACGCAAATAGCAAATCCCCGGGCGGCAAAGCAAGGTCCTTATTCAAACGAACTGTGAACTTAAATGAAACGAACATTAGAATTAAAAGTCATTTTACTGATGTCAGTGAACGCAAATCACGTGTTACGTCAGAACAAGTTCCCTGTGATGTTTGTGGAGCTAGCAGAAAAAGACCGTGTAATCTGGCAAAACCATCCAGCACTGAACACTTCATTGTGAACCCATGCCTATGTGTAAGTGACTCTAATGTACTTAGCAACGATTTTGCGAGTGGCGGCTG